CATACTTCAGTTGAAAAGCTTATTCTAATATCAGTAACATTGACATCATCATTTTCACCTTCAATGACTTTGTGCAAATATTTTCTCAATTTTTCTTCCCATTCTTCAGCCATTTTTACTTTATCTTTTTCCAAATAATTATTCAAAACAAAGGTTAACACCAAAGCTTTTGCTTGTTTATAATTAGAATTTTCGAAACCTCCAAGAATCATATCGGGTTTTAATGGTTGTTGAAAATCAGGTAAACAAAATGAAGGAGCAGATGTGCAAGTGCCAAAATCATCTTCCCAAGTTTCTTCTTTGAAATTGTCAATGTTAGATTGCCAATAGCCCGTTACCGATTGAACAATACACGTATCACCATTAGGATGAAAACATAAATCCTGTAGAGTATAATTATGAGGGGTTGATTTAAACTCACGAATTTGTTTCTCTATTATGAATAATTTTCTAAGATTTTCATAGGTTACGATACTTTGTGATTCATTTTTATTCGTAATGAAAATTTGTTGAGTTCGATAAAAAGGACCAAATTTTTGATCAAAATATTCTTTATGAAGAGCAGAATCCGAATTTGGAGCGACCCAAAGTCGTACAGGATCAGTTTCCACCGAAAAACAGGCCCAGCCTGATGAGGCTAACAATACGAAAATTCCAGCCAAAATAATGGTATACCAAGGGTGCCTTGCACAAATGAAACCTTGTTGATAGAAATATTCTTGTAGTAATTGGTTCAGCCAATAACGTTTGGATGAAGGTGGTGTATCAGGTACTCTAGCCTCGATGCTAGATAAAGGAACACGTTCATACCAAATAGCATCATAATTTGGATCAATAACACAACATACAGCAAAAACGCCCAATATTAAAATTATATAACATAAGTATAAACTAAATGACCAACAGTTAATAGAACCGACACGACATGGAGGATTTTCTTCGGGTGTTGGATCCAAAATAGGACAAACATATTGACAATCCATGCAAGAACAACGATAATTGACATCTGTATCATTACATCGTATCGCCGGTTCATCAAAAGGGGTCATCACCTTTAATGGATCAGTGAGTGGAAAATTAATCTGAAAAGGTGAGCCGATCATTGGACGCTCCATACCCAAGTAAATCAACATATCATGATAATTAGTTGCACCACCACCAATGAAATCCATAACATAACCATTTGTTGCAGCAAATTTGATGTCTTTGCAGGAATCATAAAAACCTTTTCCATAATTTTCACCCACAAAGAAATCAACACTTGAAACGATTTCATCGTTTGTTACGGAATTACCAATTGAAGTAACATTAACAAAAGTAGATTGATTTGGAGAACATGTAAAAGTGCAGAAAAACCCGAGAAAGTTCTTCCAACACGCGGGACAAGCACTAACCAATGTCTCTGCTTGTTTTGTACTTTCCCTAAGATCATCCAATTGATCCGCATCACAACATACTAAGGAGTTTTCAAATTGTGATCCACAAATTTCAACAAGTTTTAACCTCAAATCTTCATCCGGCTTAAATTATGAAATAATACAATGCACGAAAAAATTGTGAGTATAGAATGATCATACATTTATTCAGGGAAGGTGAATGGTCACACAAATTGTCGTACACATGAAAGTAGCTTATGAAATAACTTTAGAATTTCGATAAGCCACTTTGCCCCTTGCATTCTGATAGTAACACAAATATATAGATAGAGTCATTTACCTCTTCAGCCGGTTTATTGTAGGGGCAATTTAATTGTTTACCGAAAGGTTGTTTTGAGCCACACTGGCCTCGCATAACACAATATCCTTCTTGATGGATATCGGATGCTAAACCAGATGCAACCAATACCAACAGGATTAAGGGTATAACGGATAAAAAAATAAGGTTCTTCATATAACCAATTTTTGGAAGAGATAAGGCAAAAAAGCTATGTTCAATAAAAAAAATAAAATAAAATAAAATAAAATAAATAAAAATAATTATTTGGAAAAAACCAGCATACAACAAGATATTGAAAATGAAGAAATAATACAAGTTTTATATTTAATAATAAAAATAAAAATAATAATGATGAAAAATAAAATAAAAATATTTCGTATAAGAATTGTTCATGAAAAATTGAAAGATCAACGAAAATCGTTTAGGCTTAATGCTGATCTAGTACCGAACTCATTTATACGTATCTTTGAAAAAATGTAACATTGAAAGGATTTACATCAAATCCTCACGGGGCTGTTACACTATGTATCTGCACAGAAACAATACGTACCTGGTACACACGATGTCATACGCAAAGGTTGTATAAATTATTTATCGTTATGCACTAGAGATGAATTAAAATGACGAATTGCACAAAGTCATTGAAGGTGAAAATGATGATGTCAATGTTACTGATATTAGAATAAGCTTTTCAACTGAAGTATG